AACGTTGCATCCTATGACGGTGCCACACTGAGGTCTTCAGTAAGGCCATTCTACTGCCAATGTTTGTCTATGGAGATTGCATGGCTGTGTGCTTGATTTTATACAACTGTCAGCAACGGGTGTGGCTGAAATAGACGAATCTACTAATTTGAAGGGGTGTCCACCTACTTTTGTATATATAGTGTATGTTGGTATTCAAGCTGAGGTTAATCAATAAATGCATACAGATAATTGTCCGACATGAAAAAATGGGTCAGTTGATTTTAGTGAGCTGTTCCTATGAATGTGGTTTTGTTTTGAATAGCTAGGTAGCTACGTAAAGTTATATCATTCAGACGATAGCTAACGTTGGCTAGGTACAGTGATTTGCGAAAGTATTCTCTCCCCTTGCCATTTTTCCTATTTTGTTGCCTTACAACCTGGATTAAAATTAATATTTTTGGGTTTTGTATCATTTGATTTCCACTTTGAAGATGCAAAATATGTGTTATTGTGAAACAAACAAGAAATAAGACCAAAAAAAACAGAAAACTTGAGTGGGCATAACTATTCACCCCCCAAAGTCAACACTTTGTAGAGCCACCTTTTGCAGCAATTACAGCTGAAAGTATTTTGGGGTACAGTGCCTTGCAAAAGTATTCGTCCCCCTTTGGCGTTTTTCAGATTTTTTTGCATTACAACTTGTAATTTAAATGGATTTTTATTTGGATTTCATGTAATGGACATACACAACATTTTCCAAATTGGTGAAGTGAAATGAAAAAAATAACTTGTTTCAAAAAATTCAAAAAAATTAATTATGGAAAAGTGGTGCGTGCATATGTATTCACCCCCTTTGACATGAAGCCCCTAAATAAGATCTGGTGCAACCAATTACCTTGAGAAGTCACATAATTAGTTAAATAAAGTCACTTAGATTGAGCACAGGTGGACTTTATTTAACTAATTATGTGACTTCTGAAGGTAATTGGTTGCACCAGATCTTATTTAGGGGCTTCATAGCAAAGGGGGTGAATACATATGTGCACACCACTTCTCCGTTATTTATTTTTTTGAATTTTTTAAAATAAGTTATTTTGTTCATTTCACTTCACCAATTTCGACTATTTTGTGTGTGTCCGTTACATGTAATCCAAATAAAAATCCATTTAAATTACAAGTTGTAATGCAAAAAAATCGGAAAAACGCCAAGGGGGACGAATACTTTTGCAAGGCACTGTAGCTAAACAACAGCAAGGTAAGCTAGCTATATTTTGCCAAATAACGTTTTTCATATGAGGCTGAAGTCATCTGTGTAAACTGCTGAGCTAAATAGTTGTGTGTAATCAGAGCACAAACAAATATGCACAAACGAGCAAACGTCCTTGGCTGCTATGATAGCCAGTTAGCAAGATCACTAGGTAACGTTAGCCAACGTAAGACTGTGAAGTTAGCTAACGTCCAAAGTACAGCAGCTACAATAATATTCTGTACATACATATATAATTAATTACACATTAGAATAGACTGATTATCCTGTCATATCATATTCTGGGATAGACAGATAATCCTTTAATATCATACTCTGGGATAGACTGATAATCCTGTCATGTCATATTCTGGGATAGACTGATAATCCTTTAATATCATACTCTGGGATAGACTGATAATCCTGTCATGTCATACTCTGGGATAGACTGATAATCCTGCAATATCGCAAACTAGCAGACGATAGTCCTGTAATATGATAATAGACCGATATATTTTTAGTCATTTAGCAGACGCTCTTCTCCAGAGCGACTTACAGGAGCAATTAGGGTTAAGTGCCTTGGTCAAGGGCACATCGACAGATTTTTTCCACCTAGTCGGCTCGGGGATTAGAACCAGCGACCTTTCGGTTACTGGCACAACGCTCTTAACCACTAAGCTACCTGCCGATACTCTTGTAATATAATGATAAATGGATAAACCTGTAATATGATTATAGATTGATACTCCTGTAATATTATACACTGGGCTAGACTGATAATCGTGTAATATAATGATAGACTGATAAACCTGTAATATTATGCAATATTATTATGCTAGCAGCAGACTATGATTGATAATGTCAAAAGCCGAACTGAAGTCTAACAAAACAGCCCTCACAATCTTTTTATCATCAATTTCTGTCAGCCAATCATCAGTCATTTGTGTAAATGCTGTGCTTGTTGAATGTCCTTCTCTGTAAGCATATTGAAAATGTGTTGTCAATTTGTTTACAGGAAAATAGCATTGTATCTGGTCAAACACCATTTTTTCCATTAGTTTAGAAAGGGTTGGTAACAGGCTGATTGGTCGGCTGTTTGAGCCAGTAAAGGGGGCTTTACTATTCTTAGGTAGGGGAATAACTTTTGCTTCCCTCCAGGCCTGAGGGCACACACATTCTAGTAGGCTTAAATTGAAAATATGGCAAATAGGAGTGGCAATATCGTCCACTATTGTCCTCAGCAATTTTCCATCCAAGTTGTCAGACCCCGGTGGCTTGTCATTGTTAATAGACAACAAAACATTTTTTTGCTCTTCCACACTCACTTTACGGAATTCAAAATTACAATGCTTGTCTTTGATAATTTGGTCAGATATACTTGGATGTGTAGTGTCAGCAATTGTTGCTGGCATGTCATGCCTAAGTTTGCTAATCTTGCCAATGAAAACATTATTAAAGTAGTTGGCATTTTCAGGGTTTTGTGATGAATGAGCCATCCGATTCAATGAATGATGGAGCTGAGTTTGCCTTTTTTCCCAATATGTCATTTAAGGTGCTCCCAAGCTTTTTACTATCATTCTTTATGTCATTTATCTTTGTTTCATAGTGTAGTTTCTTCTTCTTTTTATTCAGTTTAGTCACATGATTTCTCAATTTGCAGTACGTTTGCCAATCGGTTGTACAGCCAGACTTATTCGCCATTCCTTTTGCCTCATCCCTCTCAACCATACCATTTTTCAATTCCTCATCAATCCACAGGGATTTAACCGTTTCTACATGGGTGCATGCTTATTAGTAACTGGAATAAGACATTTCATAATTACGTCAAGTGCAGTGTCTGTTTGCTCCTCATTACACACCACGGACCAACATATATTCTTTATATCAACAAACATGGGAATCACTGCTAAACGTATTGTATGACCTCTTATACACTATATTAGGCCCAGCCTTTGGAACTGTGGTTTTCCTAGATATGGCTACTATATTGTGATCACTACATCCAATGGATTTGGATACTGCTTTCAAACAAATCTCTGCAGTATTAGTAAAGATATGATCAATACATACATTGATTATTTAATTCCTGTACTGTTTGTAACCACCCTGGTAGGTTGACTGATAACCTGAACCAGGTTGCAGGCACTGGTTATAGTATGAAGCTTTCTCTTGTGTGGGCAGCCTTATGAAGGCCAGTCAATATTTAAATCACCCAGAAAGTATACCTCTCTATTGATATCACATACATTATCAATCATTTCACACACGTTATCCAGATACTGACTGTTGGCGCTTGGTGGTCTATAGCAGCTTCCCACCAGAATGGGATTTAGGTGAGGCAGATGAGCCTGTAGCTATTTTACTTCAACAGTATTTAACATGAGATCCTCTCTAATCTTCACAGGAATGTGGTTCTGAATATAAACAGCAACACCTCCACCATTGTGTAAATGTGGACACCTTTTCTGTAAATGTTATAACCTTGTATTGCTACCACTGTATTCTCAAAGGTATTATCTAAGTGAGTTTCAGAGTATGAATGTCATCTGTTACTAGCAAACTATTGATTTCATGAACCTTGTTTCTTAAGCTACATATGTTAACGTGGGCTATTTTGAGCACTTTTCTTCTGGGATGCTTACTTGTTTTTATTGCTTTACTGGGAAGCTTAGCAGCAGTAGATGTGCTCATGTTCTTTATGTTATTGCAGGGGGAGCTGCACACAGTGGACTTCCTCCTCGGGCACACCGGCTCAGTGCTAACAGTATAGATCTGGTTCTTAAGCACATGATCACTGCACACAATAGCTGAAGGATCAGCAGAGGCATTCATGGCAGTTAGAGGGACATACATTAGGTTACTTATATTGTGTCTACCGACGCCCCTGATATAATATACATTTGCTGAAGCATTTTGACAACACTGCGTCAAAATGATTCTGTAATATAATGATACACTGATAATCCTGAAATATTATACACTGGGATAGACTGATAATCCTGTAATATGAATATAGACTGATAATCCTGTAATATGAATATAGACTGATAATCCTGAAATATTATACACTGGGATAGACTGATAATCCTGTAATATGAATATAGACTGATAATCCTGTAATATGAATATAGACTGATAATCTTGTAATATGAATATAGACTGATAATCCTGTAATATGAATATAGACTGATAATCCTGTAATATGAATATAGACTGATAATCCTGTAATATGAATATAGACTGATAATGCTATAATATTATACACTCGGACAGACGAATAATCCTGTGATATGATGAAAGACAGATAATCTTTTACTATGATGATAGAATCAGAAGAGAAGTTCTGTCTTTCATCCTTTCATTACATAATGATAGTGTTGTAGAAGGGAGGAGGGTGAGGAAAGGGGGGTGAGGAGGGAGGAGGGGGGAGGATGTTATTTGTTAACAATCTGTCACTCTTTCCCCGTCATCAGTTTGACTGGGAGGCTGAACATCTGCTCTATAACAATACCGAACTAAACATCTGGCCTTCCTAATATCTTTCATTTTAGCTACTGTTCACCAAGCACACTCACACACACGCACGCACGCACGCACGCACACACACACACACACACACACACACACACACACACACACACACACACACACACACACACACACACACACACACACACACACGCACGCACGCACGCACACACACACACACACACACACTGGGTGGGTGGGTTTATTCACAGAATCATGGACTAGTAAATAGGATTGAGAGGGAATGAGAACAGGAGGAGAGAGGACAGGGGAGGAGGACAGAAGGAGAGGACAGGGGAAGAGGACAGGACGAGAGGACAGGGGAGGAGGACAGGAGGAGAGAGGACAGGGGAAGAGGACAGGAGGAGAGAGGACAGGGGAAGAGGACAGGAGGAGAGGACAGGTGGAGAGGACAGGAGGAGAGGACAGGTGGAGAGGACAGGAGGAGAGGACAGGTGGAGAGGACAGGAGGAGAGGACAGGTGGAGAGGACAGGAGGAGAGGACAGGAGGAGAGGACAGAAGGAGAGGACAGAAGGAGAGGACTGGAGGAGAGGACAGGAGGAGAGGACAGGAAGAGAGGACAGGTGGAGAGGACAGGACGAGAGGACAGGTGCGGAGGACAGGATGAGAAGACAGGAAGACAGGACAGAAGGAGAGGACAGAAGGAGAGGACTGGAGGAGAGGACAGGAGGAGAGGACAGGAAGAGAGGACAGGTGGAGAGGACAGGTGAAGAGGACAGGAAGACAGGACAGGTGGAGAAGACAGGTGAAGAGGACAGGAAGACAGGACAGAAGGAGAGGACAGGAGGAGAGGACAGGTGGAGAGGACAGGAGAAGAGGACAGGAAGACAGGACAGAAGGAGAGGACAGGTGGAGAGGACAGGTGAAGAGGACAGGAAGAGAGGACAGGTGGAGAGGACAGGAGGAGAGGACAGGTGGAGAGGACAGGTGAAGAGGACAGGTGGAGAGGACAGGAAGACAGGACAAGAAGAGAGGACAGGAAGAGAGGACAGGACAGGAGGAGAGGACAGGAGGAGAGGACATGAGGAGAGGACATGAGGAGAGGACAGGAGGAGAGGAGAGGAGGAGAGGACAGGAGGAGAGGACAGGAGGAGAGGACAGGACAGGAGGAGAGGAGAGGAGAGGACAGGAGAAGTGGAAAGGAAACAAACACACATACAGTATTTTTCATTGGCATTAAATGGTACTGTGTTAGATAGTTATTACAATAGTACCCATAGAAGAGGTATCCTACGACTTGTCCTACAGTACATGCTACCTAACTTTTCCATTTTTATTTCCATTGTGAGGGAGATTAAATGTATATATGTTCATTACGGTTGTGATGAAATGTATATATACATTATGGTCGGGGTACAATGTATATACGCTACCGGTCAAAAGTTTTAGTACACCTACTCATTCAAGGGTTTTTCTTTATTTTTTACTATTTTCTACATTGTAGAATAATAGTGAAGACATCAAAATAATAATAATAATATGCCATTTAGCAGACGCTTTTATCCAAAGCGACTTACAGTCATGCGTGCATACATTTTTGTGTATGGGTGGTCCCGGGGATCAAACCCACTACCTTGGTGTTACAAGCACCGTGCTCTACCAGCTGAGCTACAGAGGACCAAAATCATGTAGTAACCCAAAAAGTGTTAAACAAATCAAATATATTTTATATTTGAGATTCTTCAAATAGCCACCATATGCCTTGATGACAGCTTTGCACACCCTTGGCATTCTCTCAACCAGCTTCACCTGGAATGTTTTTACAACAGTCTTGAAGGAGTTCCCACATATGCTGAGCACTTGTTGGATGCATTTCCTTCACTCTGCAGTCCGACTCATCCCAAACCATCTCCATTAGGTTGAGGTCGGGGAATTGTGGAGGCCAGGTCATCTGATGCAGCACTCCATCACACTCCTTCTTGGTCAAATAGCCCTTACACAGCCTGGAGGTGTGTTGGGTCATTGTCCTGATGAAAAACAAATGATAGTCCCACTAAGCCCAAACCAGATGGGATGGTGTATCGCTGAAGAATGCTGAGGTAGCCATGCTGGTTAAGTGTGCCTTGAATTCTAAATAAATCACAGACAGTGTCACCAGCAAAGCACCACAAATCAAATCAAATCAAATTTTATTGGTCACATGCGCCAAATACAACAGGTGCAGACATTACAGTGAAATGCTTACTTACAGCCCTTAACCAACAGTGCATTTATTTTAAACAAAAAAAGTAAGAATTAAACAACAACAAAAAAAGTGTTGAGAAAAAAAGAGCAGAAGTCAAATAAAGTGACAGTAGGGAGGCTATATATACAGTAAAATAAAGTGACAGTAGGGAGGCTATATATACAGGGGGGTACCGTTGCAGAGTCAATGTGCGGGGGCACCGGCTAGTTGAGGTAGTTGAGGTAATATGTACATGTGGGTAGAGTTAAAGTGACTATGCATAAATACTTAACAGAGTAGCAGCAGCGTAAAAAGGATGGGGTGGGGGGGGCAGTGCAAATAGTCCGGGTAGCCATGATTAGCTGTTCAGGAGTCTTATGGCTTGGGGGTAGAAGCTGTTGAGAAGTCCTTTGGACCTAGACTTGGCGCTCCGGTACCGCTTGCCGTGCGGTAGCAGAGAGAACAGTCTATGACTAGGGTGGCTGGAGTCTTTGACAATTTTGAGGGCCTTCCTCTGACACCGCCTGGTATAGAGGTCCTGGATGGCAGGGAGCTTTGCCCCAGTGATGTACTGGGCCGTACGCACTACCCTCTGTAGTGCCTTGCGGTCAGAGGCCAAGCAGTTGCCATACCAGGCGGTGATGCAACCAGTCAGGATGCTCTCGATGGTGCAGCTGTAGAATTTTTTGAGGATCTGAGGACCCATGCCAAATCTTTTTAGTCTCCTGAGGGGGAATAGGCTTTGTCGTGCCCTCTTCACGACTGTCTTGGTGTGTTTGGACCATGATAGTTCGTTGGTGATGTGGACACCAAGGAACTTGAAGCTCTCAACCTGTTCCACTACAGCCCCGTAGATGAGACACACACCATAACACCTCGTACTCCATGCTTTACAGTGGGAAATACACATGCGGAGGTCATCCGTTCACCCACACCACGTCTCACAAAGACAAAAATCTCAAATTTTGACTCCAGAACAAAGGACACATTTCTACCGGTCTAATGTCCATTGCTTGTGTTTCTTGACCCAAGCAGGTCTCTTCTTCTTATTGGTGTCCTTTAGTAGTGGTTTCTTTGCAGCAATTCAACCATGAAGGCCTGATTCACACAGTCTCCTCTAATCGAACCCTGTGAAGCATTTATTTGGGCTGCAATTTCTGAGGCTATTAACTCTAATGAACTTATCCTCTGCAGCAGAGGTAACTCTGGGTCTTCCATTCCTGTGGCGGTCCTCATGAGAGCCAGTTTCATCATAGAGCTTGATGGTTTTTGCAACTGCACTTGAAGAAACGTTCTAAATTCTGGAAATGTTCCGTATTGACTGATCATTATGTCTTAAAGAAATGATGGACTGTCGTTTCTCTTTGCTTATTTGAGCTGTTCTTGCCATAATATGGACTTGGTCTTTTACCAAATAGGGCTATCTTCTGTATACCCCCCCTACCTTGTCACAACACAACTGATTGGCTCAAACGCATTAAGAAGGAAAGAAATTCCGCAAATTAACTTTTAACAAGGCTCACCTGTTAATTGAAATGCATTCCAGGTGACTACCTCATGAAGCTGGTTGAGAGAATGCCAAGAGTGTGCAAAGATGTCATCAAGGCAAAGGGAGGCTACTTTGAAGAATCTCAAATATAAAATACATTTTGATTTGTTTAACACTTTTTTTGGTTACTACATGATTACATATGTGTTATTTCATAGTTTTCATTATTATTCTAAAATGTAGAAAATAGTAAAAATAAAGAAAAACCCTTGAATGAGTAGGTCTGTACATTATGGTTGTGGTAAAATGTATATATGTACATTATGGTTGTGGTAGAATGTATACAGTGTATTCTAAACGTATCCTCAGTTGACCAAACAGTGCCCCAAATGATGCCCTAGTTCATATAAAGTGCATTACTTTTGACTAGAGATTAGGTGACTAGTTCATTAGGATAGATCTAATGCCCAGAGCGAATGGAGGACATGTATCCCATTGAAGTCCATTCATTAGGCTAGATCCAATGCCCAGAGAGAACTCTTCCCATTCCACTTCCTTATTTGTCATGTAAACGCATACAGCCACAGGCAAACAATACCAAATCTCACCAGGACAGAAAATACATCTCTCTCTGTTTTCCATATTCCAAAATGAAACCATTTTGTTCACTTTCTCACAATGCAACCAGAATGGAAACGCTCTCATATTTGTATTAACATCTAACGGAAAACCATTTCTGTCATACTGGTTTCTGCAGTACTGGTTTCTGCCGTACTGGTTTCTGCCGTACTGGTTTCTGCCGTACTGGTTTCTGTCATACTGGTTTCTGCAGTACTGGTTTCTGCAGTACTGGTTTATACCATACTGGTTTCTGCCGTACTGGTTTCTGCAGTAGTGGTTTCTGTCGTACTGGTTTCCGCAGTACTGGTTTCTGCAGTACTGGTTTATGCCATACTGGTTTCTGCCATACTGGTTTCTGCCGTACTGGTTTCTGCAGTACTGGTTTCTGTCATACTGGTTTCTGCAGTACTGGTTTCTGCAGTACTGGTTTATACCATACTGGTTTCTGCCGTACTGGTTTCTGCAGTAGTGGTTTCTGTCGTAATGGTTTCCGCAGTACTGGTTTCTGCAGCACTGGTTTATGCCATACTGGTTTCTGCCATACTGGTTACTGGTTTGCAGTGTGAGAAAGTGAACTTGGTGGTTTTATTTCTGAATCTTGAAAAGAGAAACATGCTTAATTCTCTGCCTGTAGCTGTTATTTACAGGTACTGTGGGTCATGTCGGGGGTGATCTGACTACAGAGAGAGAGATTGGTGATGAGACTAACACGTACCACCACACATACACCAGTCTGAGGACAGCACTGCTTACCAACCACCAATTAGAGTAAACCAAATTATCACGCAAAGCAATAATTCTTATTTGGAACAATTGGGATAAAGAAATGCAAAACAAACTAAAATGCTACAGGGCCCTCAAACGAGATTCTGAACTGGCTGAATATCTACAGGGCCCTCAAACGAGATTCTGAACTGGCTGAATATCTACAGGGTCCTCAAACGAGATTCTGAACTGGCTGAATATCTACAGGGTCCTCAAACGAGATTCTGAACTGGCTGAATATCTACAGGGTCCTCAAACGAGATTCTGAACTGGCTGAATATCTACAGGGTCCTCAAACGAGATTCTGAACTGGCTGAATATCTACAGGGCCCTCAAACGAGATTCTGAACTGGCTGAATATCTACAGGGTCCTCAAACGAGATTCTGAACTGGCTGAATATCTACAGGGTCCTCAAACGAGATTCTGAACTGGCTGAATATCTACAGGGTCCTCAAACGAGATTCTGAACTGGCTGAATATATACAGGGCCCTCAAACGAGATTCTGAACTGGCTGAATATCTACAGGGCCCTCAAACGAGATTCTGAACTGGCTGAATATCTACAGGGTCCTCAAACGAGATTCTGAACTGGCTGAATATCTACAGGGTCCTCAAACGAGATTCTGAACTGGCTGAATATCTACAGGGTCCTCAAACAAGATTCTGAACTGGCTGAATATCTACAGGGCCCTCAAACGAGATTCTGAACTGGCTGAATATCTACAGGGCCCTCAAACGAGATTCTGAACTGGCTGAATATCTACAGGTCCCTCAAACGAGATTCTGAACTGGCTGAATATCTATAGGGCCCTCAAACGAGATTCTGAACTGGCTGAATATCTACAGGTCCCTCAAACGAGATTCTGAACTGGCTGAATATCTACAGGGTCCTCAAACGAGATTCTGAACTGGCTGAATATCTACAGGGCCCTCAAACGAGATTCTGAACTGGCTGAATATCTACAGGTCCCTCAAACGAGATTCTGAACTGGCTGAAT